ACAATTTCATTTGTTAACTTTATCATAATGCATTGATTCCTAACAAACTATCAAAGTTATCATAATACTGATCGTACTGGCACCAATATAAAACGACGTATGACAGGGAAATGTTCATCCGTATACCTCCATTAACTGATCCATCGAATTTTGTTAACAAAAGATCTGCCCAAAGAAATCAGTGACATAAAACAGTCTACAATTTGAACATAGACCAACAAAATGAAACCATTATTCAACTGATACCAACCTCTCGTTTGAAAACCACGGTGCTGCAATTGTTTGCTTCTTTGTTGAAACGCCGCTTTGCGAATCATATCGATAGATATCCACTTGTTGATCTTTTATTCCACCGATTACAGTGACCAATTGAGTGCCTTGAACAGCACCAATCCAATCTCTGAAATATTCATTCACCAAGGTACTCCTATATCATTTCTCCAGGTGATCTACGGAATGCATAAAACGAAAAGAGACTATACTAGGTAATTAACAGTGACCAATAGTAACACATGGATGGGTCGGTCGTTTAATCAGCTGAATGAATAACTTTTGATTGGAAACAATCATTTGATAGACCAAACACAAATATTTTAAACCGATGTTAAGAAGGATATCCAGCGCTACATAGGATCAGGTCAGTATGTCCAACACCAAAGGGTATGGAAAGAATATCGTTCCACTCATACCAAACAATCGCGGATTCGAGCCGAATGAATCAAAGTGAATCTATCTTTTGCTTAACCCAAACAGAAGCTGCTTAAATCTCCTGCACATAGCAAAAAAACGAACCGATTTTTGTCCATTTGAACTGCCCACTTGATTTGACCGGTCAGTAGTGAGAGTGCTGACAGTGATCTATCGTCCAATACGAATACAACACTCTCGGACGAAGCAATCACTGAGATTGGCCTGAAAAATGACTCTGCTCAAGTTATGCATTGGGGCGTTCAATGTGCTTTGATAGCAGCCGATAGCATAAAGGCACTTCTTCAAACAAAAAAAGTAAAAACACCAAACTCGGCATGACATTCATTAATTGGACGACTTCAATGAACACAACAATAATGTTTCTATTAGAATAAGAAACCAATAAATGAAGCAATATTACGGACAACACCGCGAATCAGTCGAACGAACCTCGTCACTACAGCCGAATGAATTTGTGTCTCCCAAACGACAGTCCCACTTTCCTGCTCCCAAGCCCTTACAATATTTGCATCCCTTCCGACTGACACAATCACTACAAAAATTTTTTGACGTTTGTTTTTCAAACTGAGAACAAAAAATCAAATTTTAAATTCCGTTACAATCGGCTTAATAAGTTTCCGCAAAAATTTCTGATGGAATGGAGAATGTTTCATAGAAAATCTTTAGAGAAATTTTTTGAAATCTTACTTTTATAACGAACTGCGAACATCGGTGCAGATGTGGAGTTCTCTTCGTGTAGCTGCCGCCATGCTGAAAGTACTCGTGAAAATTGAAGAGAATCTGAGGAGAATTGAAGTTCTTCTCGTGAATGTGAAAAGTCTTCGAGAAAACCAGATGAAAATTTGTCAATCCGAATGAAAAATGATGCGATTCATTTGAAAGAGAATTGTAATCGCACAAATGAGAACACAAACGATATAACGATAATATCGAATGAACAACTGCTCACCTATATTACCCGTATTTGACCGGAGAGCTGCCAGAACGTTGGCTTCCGTGGCCACAAAAA